TCAGTATTGCATTTTTTTCGTTCAACAAAAGGTCAATTTTTTTCCTCCAATGACAAGAGTGTTTATGAACAACGAATCAATCGATAAGTATATATATCGTCTTAAAAAAATATTCCATCATATTTAAACATGAATCAGCATAATGTTCATCATCTTCTTGATCTTCCCAATGAAATATTATTTCTCATTTTGAGAAAACTTGAGAATATTGATGTTCTTTACTCTTTAATGAATATCAATAATCAACGACTTCATGATATAGTACAAGATCAAGTCTTCACTAACATTCTGAATTTTGTACTCGTATTACAATCAACTGATGAGATTTCTTCAATTTCTGGCTCAATACTCGATCGATTTTGTGTTGATATATTACCAAGAATTCATGAAAATGTCAAATCTCTAACTGTTGACTCAGTTTCTATGGAACGTATTCTTGGTGCTGGTAACTATCCTAATCTTACTGAATTTAAACTTTATAATTTCAACAAATCAATTGTTTCACATTATTTCACGGGTAAGATATTCATGTGTTCTGATCTTTAAAAAAAAAAAGATTAGCATACAAAAATGTTGAGATGTTCGCATTTAACAACATCTATGTATTTTGTTTAGATGACTCTCTCTTTGGGCATAAATATAAAAAACAAATTACGAATCTCATTCTTATCACCAATGAAAACCATGCTGAACTAACACTAGGGGAGTATACCCAGAATGTTTATGCAATTATCTTAACTTTCCTTGAAAATCTGCAGCATTTGAGTATTGTTGTATCATCTACTGTAAATTATTCAAGATCGATTAGCAGTTATCCATGTTTATCGTTGTGTGAATTACCACCAATAACTTTTTTCTCTTCGACACTTACTAAATTATGCATCAATGTAACTTGTTTAAATGATGTTTATGCTTTACTTGATGGTTGTCTCAAACAATTGACTATATTCATCGTTCAAGTTGAATTTATCATGTATCCGATATCAACATCCTACAACATGGTGAGTTTATGCTCTATATTATTATCATTTTTTAACTAATATTGAAGATAAAATAAAGTTTAATTACAAGTGCAATAAACAATGAGATTTCTGCATCAGTAGATATGATGTCTTAATTTTGATCATCAGAAAATCATTAGAAATAGATTGTTATAGATATTTTGACGCTGTTCGAGATGATTTCATAATTAATGATCACTTATCTGAAAGTAATTGATCAATCTTTCTAGCTATTACATGTTCTAATAGGAAATATTTTGTTTTATATCTTTTCGATTAATTATGTTGAACTTAATCATCTATGTTAAACAGTGGCGTAGCCAGGATTTTTAGACAAATGGGCAAACTTCGCTGGTGTCGAAAAAACCATTGGACAAAATGGGCAAGTTTTTTATTGATAGGCCAAAAGTTTTTTTAACTCGGCAATGGTTCATAACATAACAAAAACACAACAAAAGGAAATTAAGTTCTTTTGGGGTGTGGGTGTGACCTTCGATAAATTGTAGATCAACATAGCCATCCACACCCACACCCAAAATGATTTGTTAATAGAGAATATTTCAATTCATCATTAAGGGTACCCCCTCTTTTTTGACACTTGCTGGTTCTCGAAAACGGTACAACCGATCAAACTGAAATTTTTAGCACAGATAGAGCGCTAAAAATAAAGAGATACATGTTTGAGGAGAAAAATTTTAAATAAGTTTTATGGGATTTTCCAGAGGTCCGCATCCTGATACATTATGACCCCCCCTTAAAGTTTGTCCGATTGGACTGGAATTTTGTTTATAGGTGCCTAACACTATTTCTCAGAGATAAATTTAAGGATTTCCAAAAATCTTACTTTTTTTTTATAAGAGAAATACGCCAAGATTTGAGTTTGTACTTTGGGTCTTGGCTTTCGCGACCCTGTAACTCCGAGTAGGAACATCAAAAATGAAAACGCTTGATTTTACCTCTGGAGAATACTTCGAAGTATTAGTGGTAAAATTTTCAGCTCGATCGGTCAAACTAAGAAGGAGGTCGTAAGCAACCAAGATTTAGAAAATCGCTGTTTTACAAGACGCTAAGTAAAAGAAAAAAAATTACATACGATTACTATGGAAAAAAAATTTTCTCGATCTAATAACTACGTAAAATTAAAACATTTAGAGTTGAATAATGTCACTAGTTGCATGTGGCACTTCAGGCTATCGTATCTTAGGCTCAGCTCGAAATCAAGTTTTTGGTCACAAAAGAGGGGGATACCCTTAGTTGACAATTTATTTAACAGATAATAGCCGATATCATTTTTATTGGTATCGGGTCGAGAATCAATTACTTTCAATTCATTCCTTTCGACGCTAATATTAAGTTCAATGTTTAACTGATCTAAATGTTCAGAATCATTGGATAAAAATAAATTGGAGTCATCATTATTCGTTTTATTTGTAATTGCTACCGGTGCATTTGAATTTGATATTAAATTTCCAGAATCACGACGTATTTTTTTCGTAGAAAAAATATAACTTAATAATGTATTAGATCGCTTTTCACTCGACATAGCTTAATGTTAGTGCCATTCTCAGTAGAAGAAAACAGAACAACAAAATGACAAGTGCACAAATGTATATATATGTTATGGCCGAAGTTGGAATTCAGCCCAATTCCGAATTCGTCCAGCCGAAATTGGAATTCTAACTTCGTCTGGACTAAAATGGAATTCCAAGTTCGACTAAACTGATTATGGACGAGATTAGAATTCTAATTTCGACTAGACGAAATTAGAATTATTTTTTAATGAATATTAAGCGGTAAAAGATGTATTAAAAACATTGATGAATTTGTTTGTGACCGTGAGAGCGAAAAGAGCTAATGTGTGGTGTTCTACCAAATGTCACTCAGAGAGAAGTACCTTTTGTAACATCGAGTAACTCTCCCTCCCTCCTCCCCCATCAAATAAGAAGGCGTGGTCTTCTCTTCTGAAAGTTTATATCGTTTTTCCAACGGTGACCTTCTAATATGAACTTACGTTTTTATTAAAAGCTTGTTGTAAAATCAAGGATTTTAGAATAAACTTCTAGTCTCTAAAGGGACAAATTGCATATTCAAGTGCTGTAAAATTCGCTGAATCCGAGAGAAAGTAGTGTTTTTAATAATGAACACTTAGCTTTTTACTCAAAAACTATTCTTCTAAAAGCTAAAACCTCAAAGCTATCCCGGATTTATGAAAACCTTTTTGAAAAATTCGTGATCTTCTTTTATGTCAAGCGAAACATTGAGGTAGGTGTGGCCTTTTATTTTAGGCTGGCGTTCTAATTTGGGAAGAGTTACATTAACTTCGACTTTGTGGTATTTGTTAATTTGTTTTTATAAAATTTAAAAAATTGATTTTTAATTCTCTTTTTTTCCTATGGATTTCTAGTCATTAAACAATAATTCTAATTTCGTCTAGTCGAAATTAGAATTCTAATTTCGTCCATAGTCAGTTTAGTCGAACTTGGAATTCTACTTTAGTCCAGACGAAGTTAGAATTCCAATTTCGGCTGGACGAATTCGGAAACGGGCTGAATTCCAACTTCGGCCACAACATATATATTTATATACTTGTTCTTTTCTTTTTTCTTTCATCTTTTCTTATAATACTAATATGGAGGAAAGTGAACTGTCACCTACCTCGTCCAATATGTCGTCTTGTTTCTTCCATAGTAGCGTATTATAAGAAAAAACGAAAGGAAAACAAAAAGAAAAGTATATGTACATGATTGAGCACTTATATTTTTGTTGTTCTGTTCTCTTCTGTCAACTCTTCACGAAAAGTAAAAGTTAAAAAAAACGCATCTGTGATTCAGATGGAAGAAAAAGATGGTTATCAAATAATCCAAAAATAAATATAAAAATCCTGAAAGAGTAAAAGTTCAAGGGGCAAAGACTTACTAATACGAAATTACAATGGGCAAACCTCCAAATGAAATGTGCAATTGCCCATTTGCCCCCCCCCCCTTGGCTACGCCACTAATGTTAAAAGGAATTAAACGCATAATTGGTTTCAACATGAACTTTAGTCAGCCAAGTTTTCTTTTAAGCTTCATTACCTTTTATTGTTCAAATGAGCATACTTAGTATTTGAAAGAACTATTAATTTTCTATACAAATAATTTTTCTTGTAACATCTATATAATAAATCTTATCGAATGCTTTGAAAAATGTTAAGAATATTCATTCTTATATAACATTTGATAGTTGTTGCATTATTCATTAGTTTCTATGCATTAGAACTTAATGAATAAAAAGTAATCATTCTTACTGCAGAATACATATAAGGTGTCCCAGAAATAACCTACCAAAAGTTTTTCGTATATCTTTGCTATTTCATTTAACTTTATCAACAATTTTTTTTTTAAATTATAGGTGAATATACCAAGTTTTTAGTTATCCGAACGATCTTCCATATTATTTTGTAAAACTATCACCTTGGATCGAGATACAAAAATGTTGCTTTCTTTGTAAGATGCGAGTAATTCAAAAATCGACTAAGGGTTTTTCTTTGATATTTTCATATGGTTAGATAGAGCTTGTCGAGTTCTACAAGAATATGTAGATTGAAACATTTTAAAACCTTTTGTTTGAAGCAAAATTTACAGAAAACAACTGCAGGAAGTCGAAATAATTAAAGAAAAAAAAAATGCTATATAATGTTTTTCTTGAAATATAAAGAAAGTAAAATTTTTGTATCTCCATCCAAGGTGATAGTTTTACACAATAATATGGAAGATCGTTCGGATAAATAAAAACTCGGTATATTCACCTATAATTTAAAAAAAAATTGTTGATAAAGTTAAATGAAATAGCAAAGATATACGAAAAAATTTTTTGTAGGTTATTTCTGGGGCACCCTGTATTTCATAGAATACAAGAAATATTTAAGAAGAAAATTTCGAAGATGAATAATATCTATTAATTCATGGTTAATGTGAGTTTATTTCTTAGCTCAAATGATAAAGAATGAATTTATAAATAATGCTTTCTTTTCAGGATAATCTACCTAATTTAAAATGTTTTTCATTAACATGTGACAAGATTACTTCACAATATGACACTACAGTTTTGCCTCTTCTTCGTCGAATGTCACATCTCGAAGAATTAACTTTATTTTTGCATATTTTGGGTGGATCCACATTTATCTCTGGTACTCATCTTGCTAATGAAATTCTTATTCATATGCGACAACTTCATACATTCATATTTTATATCGATTCTCTAAACGGGATTGTTGATCCAGCTGTTCGTATTTCTGCTGATGATATTGAACGAACTTTCACAAATGTAAAATATGGACAAGTGGCTTGTATGGTGGATTATTTTGGCTCTAACGATATGATATATCGCGTCTTTTCACTTCCAACTAAATTTAATCGTCTCGAACGCATCACAAATAATATCCCAAATATTGTATTTAATTCTGTTACTCATTTGAAATTACAGGATGAACATCCATTCAAACATGAATTTTTTGTTCGACTTGCTCGAGCTTTTCCATTTCTTAAAATTTTATCTATTTCAAACCTTCGATCGCCATTTTGGCGTTTTGACGAAATTTATCTTCGCGATAAAGACTTGTGCTCAATTATTGAATACTCACATCTTATTTTTCTTGACGTGAAAAATGCAAATCCTTATTATATTGAACATTTTCTTAATGAAACAAAAACACATCTACCATGTTTGACAAAATTAACAGTTCTTTATGAGGATTTGAAACAGGTGACAGAAAATTTTACAAGAGAGGAAATGCGACGCAATTGTGGTGGAGTAAAACAATTATTTGTTGAACGTTCGATAGTTTGTCCAGAATATATTTATCGTTATTTTCCTTTATTGTCAGTTTAATTTTGTTCTATTATTATCTGAATAAAAATCTCTGGTGTAAATTATAAATTTTTTTTCTTACAAAATCAGGTATAGCGCAGAAAATGGCAGTTGTCTATGAAAACGAAATCTGCTGTGGAAAGTAAATTGTTGTGGAAAAACAATTACTAATATAATCTTATGTCTTTGTGTTGCATCATGATCAAAAAGTAAAGTTGGATGTTATCGCGACACGGCAGCGGCAGATATTTTTAAGGCTTTCTTTTATCACATATAAAGGATTTTTGCAATCATTATGATTAAATGTCACCAATCCTCGAGTTAGAAAAAATTTTGTTCTTTTTCCAACTTCTGCATTTTATGATTATTTTCTCATGCCAAAAGTACAAGAGATTTTAATTGTATATGAACAAATAAGAATATAAATAAAAACTACAGTATTTAGGGTGTGGGTGGGTGTGGGTGTGGGGTGTGGGTGTGGGTGTGGGTGGTGGGTGTGGGTGTGGGTCTTCTCTTCATCCACATCCACCGACACCCACACCCTCACACCCACCCACAAGCGATGTCCATAGTAGAATGAGAGCAACACTATGGTAGCCCGATATAATTGATTAATTTCATTAGCTATTCAACGTAAAGATTAAATCACCTATATATCGCGCTACACTGTAAAAAAAAGCGTAGAATAATAAACCTTTACTCTATATACCATTTTTCATAAACCTCTGAAGGGTTCATGAAGCGAAGCATTTATAAAAGTAAGGGTATATGAAAATCAAAAGT